TCTCTCTCTCTCTCTCTCTCTCTCTCTCTCTCTCCCCAACGGGCAGCTGAGGCGGGCGCCACGTCGAAACGGCCGCTTTGAAATTGCTCGGGCCTGTGCGAAACCCGCCACCTCAAAAACCTGCAGTGTCTTGTGTCTGGACCTATAGGCCATGTCCAGTGGGGTGAAAGGACACTTAAAAATCACCCCGTTATTTTTCTAGAGGCGGCTAGGACCCGACAAACGTCCTGAGCTGCCCCAATTTTTATTTATTTTTTGCCCCAGGGGCCTCCATCCGGACATGGGGACCAGACACCGAACACCAGACACTGGACTGTCTGGAACCCGGTCCGGACGTCCGGGCGGTTACCATGAATTTTTTATTTATTTATTTTTTCAGAATTTTGCTAGTGCAAGGAATATGAGTGTGAACCATATACAGAAAACCAAGTTGCGAAATCACACAGATGTCTGAGTAGGCGTGTACAAGCAGAGAGCACAATAGCACCGAGAATCCATCCAAATAGAGCAATACAATGAAGTAATGAGCCAATGTTCAAGCCCGTAGGCCACACCAACACAGTATCCAAAGTCGCTCCTCTCTGTCTGGCGCCCAGCGCCCCAGCCAACTCTACTCTAGAAGCCTACCTACAGCTGTGTTCACACAACAGGCTCACTTCGACTCTCGAAGACCAATGTACATGATGTCAACACCATAGCCGACCTCTCTCCATGCACCAGGTACGTATCTCGGCACCCTCATCAGACCTTGAGAACCCACACTCGCCTCCTTCCCTGAAGACCACCTGATCGCCCTCCTACCCCCTGGCGCCCAGCAGCACGGCTATGGCTGCCTGTGCCCCGCTGCCCTGCAGCGCCCCACTTCACCACTACGCGCCCCGTCAGCGCCTTTGACAGCAGCGCAGCATCAAGCGATAGCGCAACTTGCCTGCACTGGCCAGAATGCCTGACCTGGGCTGCCTCACTTCTTTTATCGAAGTGGCAGCCTCCCTGGATGCTGCGTGTGGCCTGGCTGGATGCTTCCAGTAGGGCCTCAGTCCCTGCGCCCAGGCCCGAGCCTACAGTTGAGGGCCTGGGCCCCTTTTCAGTTGGGCACGGCCTGAGTCTACGGACTTGGGCTGTTAGCTGCATGTGCAGGGCTCCCCGGTAGGTACGTCGGCAGTACTGCTTTTCCATAGGCCGATGCCCTGCTTCCTAATGTATCGGCCCTGCTTTGTGTGTATGTGCCCAGGCGCAACTGTCAAGGCCTGGGCCAACTGTATGATGCAGCTTAGTGAGGCTCAGGCGTCCACTCAACCAACTGGTGTGCTGCAAGAGCCTGAATACCCACATATGAAAATGTCGAATTTTGGCCTTTGATGAATATTCAGGCCCGCCTTCACTTAGGGCGGGCACTTGGCTTGCGGGGGGGACTTTGCCCAGAACTTGTGATGTCTGATAGGGCCCCGTGAGGGCTTGTTCCTCGCACTAGGAAGATTTTTATGCCTGGCCGGGCACCCAAGCGTGCAAAAAAAAAAAAAAAAAAAAAAAAAAAAAA